ATCACTATGAGTCACACTCAACGGCACCTAAAAACAAAGATAGTTGATAAATGGTTACAGTCATTGATGGCATTCCATGTTTGAGAGTTTGGTCCCCCCCCCCCTGCCCCGCTGTGTTTTAGTTGCTTTTTAAGCTCAGTTTCTTCACTTACACATGGCATGATTTCAGGCGGGTACTATTTTTTTTAGTCATTTAAGTATAAGTATAATAATTTGTCTAATAATGTTGAGCTATTGCATAGAAAGTGATTAGCATGTGGTCTTATGCAGAGAAGGTCTTCATTATCTATTTGTTATTATTAATCATCTTAGCCTTTTAAACGGGAACTCTGATGGCCTAGTGGTTAGAAGCTGCGCTGCAATCTCAAGGGCATGTGGTTCAAACCCACCAGCTGTTCCATGGGAGAAGGGTGAGCAGCTTCCTCCTGTGTGATTAGCCTCTGAAAACCCATTAGAGGGTGAGCTCTGGGTCTGTTCTGACTCAACAGCACACAACAACAACAGCAATAGCCTTATAAAAATGCTGATGGTACTTTTATTTGGATTATTAGACACTGCCAGTTACTGGGAATTAACACCCTCCCACCCCCCCACCCCCAGTATCTTCAAGTCTGTTTCAATATGCAGTAACCCGTGGAGCTTTCAGTGACTGCTTTAATTGGCAGTGGCTTGCAGTATTTTCTTCGAGTATCTCTCAGTGAACTCAAATCTCCAGTCTTTGAAGAATTGACTTTGTATGCCTCCAGCTTAATTTTATTTTTTGTTTCTGCCACTTTCAAATTTTCAAAACTTCGACTGCCTTTCTTGTGCCCTATGTGGGTGAAATGAATAAATAAAATCATGTCTGAATCTTCATCAAAAGCTTTATTTGGTGAGATAAAAAGAAATTTCCAGTTGACACCTTTCACAATAGGGTGGAGAGGAAGTTGTTTACTCCTTCTATGTAAATCAGAGAAGTTAGACTGCAGTGTGAGGATCCCCACAGCCCCAGTGCAGCGCGAGGTTTATGGGCTACAGATCCAGCCAGTCAAGGCCCCGGAAGCAATCCTACTACTATATAAGGCAACTTCTCCAAGTTAGGCAGTGCATCCACGGGCCTTCCTTAACACAGGGAGGCCTGTGAGAGTTGGGATTCAGTGTGATCGTTGTTGTCCTCCAGGTCTTGCCGGCTTCCCCATTGTTGGCACAGTGCAGTCTTACTGATTCTCTATTGCTTGCTTTCCATCTCTAACAGGTTCCTGTCTCACACAGATGCCACATTTCATAAGTTTGACCATATTCAGTTTTCTGGCTTTGAAAGTCTTTTTCTTCCAGCATTGGAACAGTCTCACCTAAGCAGAGCCTGCACTGCACAGCCGAGGAGTTTTCAGGTTATGTCTACTTATGGAGCTCTGGCGACCTCGTGGCAAGAAGCTGCGCTGTAATCCCTAAGGAACACAGTTTGAACCCACCAGCTGTTCTGCTGGAGCAGCATGGACAGTCAACTCGTGTGCGATTAACTGCCTCTGAAAACCCGGTGGAGGGTCAGCTATACGTCAGTTCTGACACTGTGGTTCGTGACAACAACAACGAAGTCTTATTATGGGTAGAGCTGGCCATGCCGCGACACAGGAGCAGTTAGAGCCATTGCTTCAGTGATCTTCCTGTTCCTGACATTGCTCCCTGAGAAATGAGTCTCAACATCAAAGAAACAAAAAGTCAGACAACTGGACCAACAGGCAGTGTCATGATGGGTGGAGAAAAGATACAAGCATCTGTCAGTGATTTGCCTGGACACCCCCGCAACCCTCCCCAAGAGAGCAACAGTCAAGACAAGCTCAAAAGAAAAGATGGGCCGCACTGGGGAAATGTGCGCTCAGGGACCTTTCCAAAGTGCTGAAGAGCAGTGTAAAGACGAATGTGTGCCTCG